GGGGGGGGGGCAATGCTCAGGTTATGCATTAGCTCTCCACTGTGCACACACAAAATGATCGCATTCCTCCTACCTTATGGAAATCATCATTCGAGCTCCTGCGGTTCTATTTTGGCTTCGCAGTTTGATTTCTTTTGCTGTCATTTTTGTTCCTAGGTTAAAGAAAATCCTACCAGTGTTAAACCTCTCCCTCACTGTGAGTCCATACAGAAAACGGGGCTCTCCCTGGCTGAGCAGCTTCCTCTCAACCTCGCCACACCTCCCCTCTCCTTAACAACTCAAGAGGCGCTGAGAGGTCACAGAAAACCTGCTCCCGTCGAATTCTCAGTGACTCGTTCACATTAGCGAGTAGCGAAATGGCTAGCAGCCAGAACATAATGCAGCAGAGAAAGTGGCAGAGTAACATCGACCAATAGTGAAAAGCAAGTCAAGAGGAGCCACTGTTCAATTTACTGTAACATGGACTGTAGTGATGACAAACCAAAGTCACTTACAGGACTTGGCTATATGGGCATCAATGAAGCACAAGGTAAAAATGAACTTGATCTTCATTGCTGTCATCACTGCCGTCATTTTGTAACTCGTCTGATACACCATCTGGGCGGCACTGTCCCGTTTGCTGCAGTCATCTGAGTGCACTGAGTCACTTCTTTTCCTAGAGCATGTACAAATGTGCAATATTTATGGTGATCTTCATCAATTCTGTCCTTTTGTGGAAGACTAAAACTGAGCCCAAGTATCTCACGTCAATGTGTTGCTCAGCACAGAGGAAAAAGAGAATTCATTCAAGCCTGTCACACACAGTACATAGATATCAAAAAACTGAGAAAACACTAAGATCTACTAAATATTATGTCTTGGCAACTTAGAGACAGTAGTGCACTCCTTTCACTGGTAACCAAAGGACAGCCACTGCAAGCTACAACAGACAGTAGCACAGAATCAGCCCTAAAATATATGTCCATTCTTGAACTGAGTGAACCCTACAGCAGTATATTATTATAGCAGAAGCTCACACTGTGGTAGAACACAGTGTGGAGACAGCTCTGGTAATTCAAGACTACAACAGAGGTTGTCTTATTGACTCTTAATACATTAATCATTACTGTATCACATCAATCCGTTATTGTTCGTTTCTATAATGCTACATTGATGGATTTATTATCATCAAACCTTTATGAAACCCAACCCAAGCCGACCTTAAACAGGACTTTAGATTGCAATTTCCATCAAGGCTCACTGCCCACTAAATCAAAAATGTGATTCAATTAAGGCGCTGTTAGGCTGACGAGTGCAATTAATCAAACTTAACTACTCATCATTCATTCTAGTGGGCACCTTTAAATGCTGCACTGCCTCGGCCAACAAATCTCTTCTGTTCCATTGAGGCAAAGCAGAAGCCTGTCAAGTGGGTGGAGGTCTGTATTAAAGGACCAGTGTGTAGGATTCAGCGGCATCTAGCAGTGAAGTTGCAGAACCGTTTAAGTTCAGCCTGCCAAGCGTGTAGGACAAACTATGGTGAAAAAACAAAAAGAGCCCCATATAGAGCCAGTGTTTGCTCTGTTATGGACTACTGTAGAGACACGGCGGTTCAACATGGCAACCTCTGCGGAAGATTTAGATAATATATTCCAAGATATTATTTTCCAAGATCCTTCTAAATGCTACACGCTGGATCTTTAAGGAAGATGATGAGTACAGAGACACGTGCAGTGAGCCAGGACTCTTATTATAGTCTGATCATTCCACCGGTTCACGACAAGACACAGCGCAGACAGAATAGACTAAATGATGCATATTAACTGCAGCGCGTGTGACTTATCTGCCAGCCAATTATTTTCATTCACAGGTCAAGAACATATCAGCTTGGCATTAACGTCAGCTCACAATTCAGCCTCAAAGATGGCATCAACAAGGGGTAAGTATTTCCTAGATAAGTTGTAAAAGTTTACTCGAACAAACAACATTCAACAGACAGATTAAAGTGAAAATCCACCAGGCTTTTAGACCATCTGCACTGCATTCAAGTTCTCCTCAGTTCAGAAACACAATTGATTATCACTATTTGTTTCCATTAGCTAGTGGTGTGGCAGAGACAATCCAGAAGAGAGACTTTAATAACAGAGAGTGGCAGCCTGGAGAAACTCCATGCCGTAAATCTCTCCTAACTTTACGGCGCACATCGCAAGTACATAAATGTAAGATTATGGTCGTCTCACCAGCTGGGTCCTCGGCACTATTTATGCTTTCTAGCTGGGGGAGTGTGACGGATTTCTCCGAATCCGTCTTGAAGTCTGCAGGAGGAGGTAGGACCGTGTACATCCGCCCGCATGGAATGGCTGCACTCTGTGTCTTCCCTGCATTTCCTGAGACAGACATGGCAAATAAAAGAAGGTAATAAACCTCAATGGTAAGAGCAGCAGGGTGGCAGCAGCTTTGCATATATATAACGTGTTAGTATAATAATGTGTGTAATTTGAAAAAAGGGAATAGGGTCAAAAAGAAAGATAGTCAGAAAAGAGTGATTTTTATCCCCCAAAAACTGACTTTTGTAAACCGTATTGCTGGTGAACTGAATGTAATCTTACCAGTGGCTGCGTCCTCTTGGGAGGCTTTTCTTTTCACGTTGTTTTTTTTGGCGAGGGCCTCTACCATGTGTGGTGGGCTGGGCTCCTTCTCCAATTTGGGAGCTGCAGGGTAGAGCTTCTGGAGTACTTTTGATTGAAATGCTAAGTACACAAGACAGAGGACACAAAATACATAAGAGCACAACACTACCTATTAATCAGAGGCACTGTAAGATACTTGACTTCTTAGTATTGAAGGAAAACAAAATGTTATTCATGCTAAAATCTGACAGTTTAACAATGCAATTCAATTAAGTGTGCAGTAGGTCTAATTCACACATCAAGTTCTCATATGAGTTTCCAATGCAGAACAAGGGATGGACTCAAAGAAGCAACCATTTCGAAAGAGGTGCTGGTTCATACATATGCATGTCGGGGGCATTATAATACTATAATAATAATCAAAGTAGCACTGCCCTGTACTACAAATTTGAGTATTTTTCCTATACTATAAAAAGCACCATCGACCGTTCAATCATCACGGTGCTCAGTTATTTAAGGTCACCGTAAACTGACTGTAATACTGACAGGTTAGGATTACTTTGTATTGTTAGCCGGTGGAACACGTGCATTTGTTTACAACATAGCTCCTTAACGCGAGACTTAGCCTGGTAGCTACGTTAGCTAGCTAGTCGCCTGAACTTTTTGAGTTTTTAAATGGGATTAATGTAGTTGTCCACCACACCGGCGATGCTCACCTTCTTTCCTACGGGCCATATCGACATTAACCGATATCTGAGTGGAAGCGAAGAGGACGGAAACCTAAATGTAACATGTGGCTATAGCTAACATGCTAGCAGTTAGCGGTCTGTTAATAACTCCCTTCACAACAAAGAGTTACAACAGCACACAGCGGGGAAGCGTGTTCGTGTTGAAATAGCTAAAGAAACGTCTGCAGCTACTTTAAAAACCCAACCAGCTAACGTTATACGGTTTTCAAAGTGCATTCATTGTCGGGCTCCAGCAGTTACACTCCCTCCAGCAGACAGCAGCTCACAGACTGGTAGACTGATTACACAGGCAGACCTCACTTGTTCCTGTGGCGCCGATTTCCATTCAAACTAAAGGCAATTTAATGTATTCTTATTTGTCATGAAAGACACGTATCCTGTATATCATACACCGGTATATTGTTTTAATCCGTCGAATCCCTTCTTCAAATCGGCATATGAATTAGCTTTGTACAGCACAATATATTAGATTATTTTAGCTTTCTTTAAAACTACTCGGCCACTGTATTTGATGAGGACAGACAGTACAGAGTAATACGTTTACATTTTACTGAGGCATATTGCTTCTGTGTTACCGAATGCGAGACGAATTGAAATCAGACTCGGTAAATTATATTGAGTCACTTTCTTCCTACCAAAATAATCAAGCCCAATTTATATTGGCGGTCAGTTTAAGTTGCCAACTTTCTCTCATGAAGTCCGCGATGCATCAGACTAGAGCTCCCCGTGTGTCTGAATCGTGCAATAGCAGCGGGTTTTGGGCGTGCGCACACAGAGCCCGCTGTAGGACGGGCTGGAAGCGAGATGTGAATACTAAGCAGGCACCTCATGGCTCAGCATCAGCACCGGGTTGAGTTAGGATTTGCGCACCCTCCAAACTTGGCTTGGGACCTCAGCATGTGAACGGGTTTTGCAGGAGGAGGATCCACCTAGAATGTCAGCTCTGAAGAAGGTAAATCCCCCTTCTCTGTCTTATTCATCTTTGAGCACATATTTAACTCCTAAAATATGACATGTGCAGGATTCAAACATTGGATTTTACCATCTTACAGTAAATGAGAAGATGTATGCAGTAGTGGAAAATGGGTGTGTGTTTAAGCAGTTTGGTTGCAGGATTTTCTTAATTGTGTGAGGTAACCAGACCTTTGGACTGCTGGCTTATTCAGAGTGATAAAATTGTTAAAACCCTTCCATAATTATTTCAACTATTTTAGGGGCCACAAATTGAATGTGTTTAAATATGGTAAAGCATCACAATAAACAAAATATAATATCATTTTTGCTTCACTTTGGCCCATGAATTTTGCCCACCACTCCTCTGATTTGCCTCATGGACGTCGTTCCTGCAGTTACATTTATCCCTGAGGAGGAGGCTTGGGTGAGGAGCATTTCAGGCAGAAAAAAAGCGCTCTTAGCACAAGGTTAACTTCTCAAATGGATGTTATGTCAGTTTTGATCTCCCCTGGACCCCTTCTTTTGTGCACTGTCACGTAATACTGTATGTACCATGCTGACTGTAGTCTCAGTGGGTGGATGAGCTTCACTGACTGTGTCTGACAGAGCCCCAAACCCAGCGCTGGCAATCCTGAATGAGAGTGGAGCTCCATACAGCTTAACAAAAGGAGGCATTGGAGGAGTTGTACGTTTTGCAAGAATCAAGGAACTACACAGATCTGTGTAAACATGTTACATAATACCTCGCAGTGAACAAGGCGTTCACTGCGAGGTATCAACAGCATATGCGAAATTCCCACAAGCCTTCTGATTAATAAAGTAGTAAGACTCTCCTATGAATGGGGGATTATTACTGGTAGGAATCAACCTTCTTTTGTTGTTGAGGATGTTTAAAGATAAAAAAAAAAGTTGCCTGTTTGTGTAAAAAGCTTGTCATCACTGTCAGCTGTACACTGACACATCATATTGTTTAAGATTCAGTGCCGTTGCACGTATTAATGTCTCAGCTCCAATAGATTCCCATGATTGAGCGGCACAAAAAAAGGAAGTTGTATAGAATGTCTGCTTCAGCACTGCCGCCGAATCCACAGCAAATCCACAGTACTCAGCACACACTGTGACTGACAAAATGCTGGCTGCCAGCACTCACATAGTCAGACATCATAATCACAGAGGTTCTAAAAATAGGGGACCATATTCATTGCAGTGCTTTAGAAGCTCAATGGAGTTATTGCTGTTCACCCTCGCAGCTCGAAGTTTTACCAAGATACTCCTCGATGTTTTACTCCTACCTTGCTCAATAATACAAAAAGTCTTTATTTATAGACAGCAGTGGTCAGGCAGCCTTCCCTCAATGACACACAGCTGCTGTGGATGAAACTTTGATGTGTAAGTGATGGTCTTTTTTACTCTATAGTCTCTGAAACTCAAGGTGCACTGCAAAGCACTTCATACATGGAAACTGCATTTTCTGGCATAGGAGCAAGCATGTTTTATTTTAGGTCCTGGAAAACTGTCCCATGTTCATTCATTATGCAGGCGGCGAGAAGTGCTCTAGAGCAGTGGTAGTTGCGGAAAGCATTCAGGAGAAAATGTAATTAATCAATAAGGAGTTTAATTGTATGCTTTGCCTTGATGTGCCTGTGCAATATGTATGCATATGTAGTTTGTGTATACCTAAAAGTGTGGCAACCTGTGGGTTGACAGGTACCAGGTGGCAGGTGAGAAATTCATGTGACCTCTGTAAGTCCTTATCTGACTGAAAAATAAATTACTTGTCACTTACGAGCTTTAGGGGGGGGGCCAACCTTTCACCTCATCCACATGACTTCCCACCCCTCTTCTTTAAATCAGTCTTTCAATGAAAGCTTGATGATTCATACGAGATGGAGAAATCTTTACTCATCCTACCAGGCAATTTCTTCACTTAAAAAGATGAGAGCCTAATGAAAAGCTACCATTTGCGTACAAAGAATAAAGGACAAAAAAAAAAAAAAAAAACCTAATTGGAAACTGACACTATTTCCTCTCAGAAGCACTTTAGAATTGAAGGTAGCTTGTCTCAGGATGTTTCCAACGCTGCTGTTAAATTGCTTGCACACACACACACACGCGCCCACACAAACAGACTGTCACAGAGTTGTCAATGGGAGGCTTGTGTGGACTTTGCCTACTTGGCAGTGACATGATAACGCTCTCATAATCTGTTTGAAGATGCATAGAAAACTTGAAACGCTACATTTATGCGTGCAGTGATGTCATTTTGGTCTACAGGGGGAGAGCGGCAGCGGTGAATGTAGACTAGTCTTGACTAAAAGTAAATGTTGAAACATTCAGCAGGCTTTTTGCCTTATTCATCCACTCACCGTGGCAGATACTTTGATACTGTCCCCGTATTTCCTCTCTTTTTGTGTCTCTATTCATTCCCCAATGAATGCCCCCTACATCTGTAATAGTTTGGCTTCAGTAGAGGGATGTAGAGGGGATGGATGGGACAGAGCTTTATGAATCTAATAATGCATGAGAGCCAAGTGTGTATACTATATATACAGTATGTGTATGTGTGTACACCTGTGCACTACTCAGTTAATCACCTTTGTGCTGCAGTGGGCACAGATTTTCCAGACGGGTGGGTGTCACTGCATTTTCCCAGTGTTACTGTTACTGCAATAGCTGTCACATACAGCCCCAAGTCAGATGTGAGTCATTACGACATTCATTAGCAAGCTGGGAGACTATCTGTAAGAATTCCTAATTGGACAGTCATAAATACAGACAGTTTGATACCAGTTTGTAATATCATTTATGATTTACCTATGTCAGCCACACTGGTATATTTTCATCATAAAAGCCACTGTCCTTCGAAAGATGGCACAGCAGATACGACGACTACTCAATACCCGACTCCAGCTGTATGGCTTTGAATCTCTTTGACAGAGAGACAAAGGTAAATCATCTCATGGTCTAAAAGGAATTATAAATGTGTCCCTTAAGGCCCATTGTGTTAACACTGTTAAAGTGTGAAATTTGATACTAATGCAGGTGCAAGACCCTGTACAGTTCCAAGTGTACTTGAGGTCTCCCTTGTAGAGTATAAGTCCTAATACCATTGCTGTTGGCGGAAGGCCCAGCTCGTTTACAACCGGGTCTTTACCAGACCCTTTAAACCGGGCGATGAACTTGAATATATCAGTGTAATAAAATAGCCCTCTCAAGTGAAGGACATCAAGGCAGCAGAATTTTAGATTGGGGCAGGTCTAAGAGATTTGATTGAGCTCCAGAGAATTACTTTGCACTATAATTGTCCTAATGTGGTCAAGCTGTTTAACATTAATGCTGTATGCTGCTGTTGCCGTCATTACAGTGCACCTAGTTGGCTTTCACCTTTGCATAGCTCCCCTCCAACGTTGGGTATACATGCTTATGCCGTTATTCTAGTTTATCCTGTAAATGATCCTTGGATTTTAGGTAAAAGCTCTGACCTCCATCCGACCCTGCAAACATATCCCTGCACTTACCAGATGCACCACTTGCCTCCATGCCTTAGCATCTGGATCTCAGCTCCACATTCTCCCTTTCATCTACATGCCTGCCCATGTCTCTGGTGATGTTCTAAATGAGTGAAGTAAAGGTTGTATATTAAGTCTGCTGCCTTCCTGTGTCCTACATGAGCATTAATCCAACTGAAAACTACAGTATGACTTAGGACTCATATGCTACATATTTTAGTGCGTGGTAGATCTCAGACTGAGACTGCCAAAAAAGTACACATTTCATATTTATGTTTTTCCTATGACAGTGGAGGGTACAGGAATGCTGGATGTAATGAACACTATGCTTTTTATAGAGATGAATTTGCACACAAAGCTGCTAGAGACAGTTAACTCCTTACCACTACTATTGAACTGCATTGTATTGAAACGTGCTTCTAATATTTTTGTCCATTTCTGTCTGTCATATCTATTTTAGTTACTGCTGGGGTGAGTAGTTACAGTGCATTCTTATCTTCTGCTCAATCTGCACACCATTCATTTGATAGCTTGGGTAAGAAGGGAGCAGAGAGCGCTCAAGGCGGACAGGAAGAGCTTTGAAATGCATTGGAGTGACTCCACTTCCCATCCGTCCTCTCAGATCTCCATTAGCTCACCAAGGGTTGCACTCTAGTCCTCAGCAGCAGGCGCCAAGATATCCTATTATACACTCCCACTTGTGATAATTGCCTGTACCCCGCAGTAATAGTGTGTGGAGATAGGTAGTGTGTCTCTATGTTTGCGAGTGTATGTGCTTGCGCCCGTTATGTAGACAGGTATTTGTGGCTTTGTGAGCATCCTGAAAGAACACTGGGACAAGAGCGGTTCCCCCCGCTGACCGCTCTCTGTCGTGGTCAAAACTAGGCTGTGTTGCCCCGAGCCTCAGATCATGTGCATAGCCATTAACTGAACCTCGTGCATTGGAGCTTGACTTGTTTGGGTGCATTTACACCAAAGTCTAGTGCAACTGGGTTGACAGGGTTCACGCACATCTCACCGTGGTCCACACTAGGAGAAAA